AATGAATCATGGAACACTACATCAAAAACTAATGATGTATGGTGATTAACATGATAAAAAGAAAAAAATAATAAAAGGTTTCATTAGAAAGTAATATGTTGTAAACAGTCATGTTATAAAGAGTCAAGCAATACACATAAAGCAAATGTATTCCTAATTACCCTCATGCAATCACGTGTCCTTTCTACTACCAGCCCTGACTCTCAAGTCGTGAGTCTATCCTGCCAACCTCTTTCAAAGAATTTATGAACATATGTATATGTGCATACAGAAGTGAATAAACTAACCATTTTTACGTGCCTGTTTCACTGCACAAAATATAAATGTGACTCTAAAACAATCCATTCTTATATTTTTGTCTATGTCATATATAATAGGAACAAAATAAAACCATCAGACTGTGGAGGAATGGAGAAGTAAATTTGTATGATTATCCAAAATCACTGTAACACTGAGCAAATTAGCTACATTATTTCATATTGTTTAAGTTGTCATTAATATAATTTTCAAAAATTTGGACTAGATCAAGGAAAGACATTCAGGGCATGACTTACTTCTCATTTCATAAAATAAAAAGCTTGATGGAAATCATAAGTGTATGTGGCCAAGTGTTCAATAAGATGTGCATCATATACAGTTGTTAATATCAAACTTTGTACATGGCAAATGTATAATTGTATTCTCAAAAACATCCAATTATGGATTAAAACATATTGAGACCACTTGAGGGCATATTTCATATAAATATTTCTTTTGCTTCCAGTTTTAATTATATTAAATTCTCATTACAGGGCATTACAGAAAGTTTCTTTTATAAAATACTTTTAAAATTATTGATGAGGAGCCTTGTTGGTCAATTTTTTTAAAGATTTTATCTATAGATAATTTTATATGAGAAAGGAGAATAAGTTACATTATTTAAAATTTTTCTATTACATAATTGTGGATAAAAGCAGATTATTTTTTTTTCCTTTTTAAAATAATTTTTTTTATTACGTTAATCACCATACATTACATCGTTTTTGGTGTAGTGTTCCATGATTCATTGTTTGTGCATAACACCCAGTGCTCCATGCAGAACGTGCCCTCTTTAATACCCATCACCAGGCTAGCCCATCCCCCCACCTCCTCCCCTCTAGAACCCTCAGTTGGTTTCTCAGAGTCCATAGTCTCTCATGGTTCGTCTCCCCCTCCAGTTTCCCCCCTTCATCCTTCCCCTCCTGCTATCTTCTTCCTTTTTTTTTTTTCCTTAATATATAATGTATTATTTGTTTCAGGGGTATAGATCTGTGATTCAACAGTCTTACACAATTCACAGAGCTCACCATAGCACATACCTTCCCCAATGTCTATCACCCAGTCACCCCATCCCTCCCACCCCACCCCCCACTCCAGCAACCCTCAGTTTGTTTCCTGAGATTAAGAATTCCTCATATCAGGGAGGTCATATGATACATGTCTTTCTCTGATTGACTTATTTTGCTCAGCACAATACCCTCCAGTTTAAAAGCAGATTATTTAAGGAGATTATACTATTGTGTTTCAGATGTGAGGTTATTACCAGGTGACACTAGAAATTCCAAAATGGATGTCAGAAGATCCATTTGGGTGGATGTCCGAAATGGATGTTACATTATTTATAAGCATTTTGATATTTAAAACACATACCTTCTCTTTTGTTGTTTTACCTAATGTAAAAATTATTTTTATTTTGACTAATAATCTCATATTTTCTTAATGACAAAAGGAAATGCCACAGAATTTAACGTCATTCTGCCTTTTTCTGTATAACCTTTCATCCATATTACTTTTTTTAAAAAAAGAATGAGTTTTGTTTTAAAGTATGTTTTACCTTTTCTCATGGTCAGTAATATACATATTAAATCTCAAAACTTGGTGTATTTTGTGTCCAAATTAAAATTTAAGAGATTATTTTTATACTATTCCATTTATGAGGATCCATTTTTTTTTTCTTACAGCTATCTATGAGCAGTCATGTGAATCCTATAAGCACAGAGGAAACACTTCAGGGTTTTACTATATAGATTCAGATGGAAGTGGTCCTCTGGAACCCTTTCTTCTATATTGCAATATGACTGGTGAGTTAATCAACTTTCATTTAATAGTAAAATTTGCATGAATGCTTTAAACACACAAATTTAAAATGAAACTAGTAGAAAGTTGACCTCCTTTGCAACTTGATTAAAATGTATATTGTTCAGTGGAAGAACTTAACAAAAATCTTTAAAAAATAGTTTAATGGTAATGATTTAGAAATATTTCATTATTTTCAATGAATCTGGTATCTGTGTCGAACATCTAATAATAGATGTATCTTATTAAGTCCCCAAACGAAAAGGACAGACTATTTCTCTGAGAAGACTGATACATGTGAAAGCTTTGAAAAATACTTAACTTTTTAAAAGTAGGTAAACATGACTTGTGTTCTTGAATTCTTTACTTACATAAATTTAAATAGGAATTAATAGTCAAGGAAAATGTATTTGATTAAATTGAACATCCGTTCATGATAAAAGAGAAGGTAAAAACTCAATAAATTACCAATAGAAGGAAACTTCCTTACTTTGTTAAAGAGTACTAACAAAAAAATCGTGTAGCACATATCACACTTTATGGTGAAATATTGAAAGCTTTACCCCTGTTACCAGTATTAACACAAGGATGCCTGCTATTATCACACCATTATATTGGAGGTCCTTGCCAATGTAATAAAGAAAGAGAAAGGAAAGATGTAAGTACTGTAAGGGTAGAACTAAGATTCTCATTATTTGTCTGTGACCACCTTATCTATTGATTCTCATTATTTGTCTATGACTAGGTTATATTTTAGCATATGTATATATACTAATATATATATATATACAGATAAACTATTAAAATTTAGGATGATCACTGGGTATCAAATTAATATAAAAATTAACTACATTTCATTTCTGCATACCAGCAGTAAGCAAAATGAAGTTTTAGAAGATTTTATTGCCAATCACATAAAAAATCTCAAATACATGGTAATAAACCTAATGAAAGATATGCATGACTTCTACATAGAAAAGTATAAAATGCTCATGAGATAAATTAAAATTCTAAATAAATGAGGAAATATAAAAATTCCATTGATTAGAAAACTCAGTATAGTGTAAATATCAATTCTTCCCATGTAGGTTTTGATTTGGTACAAGTCTGAATTAAAATTCCAGTGGGGTGTTTATTTGTTGGTTGATGTAACTGTTTTGGTGAAAACTGGCAAGCAGGTTCTAAAATTTGTCAGCAAATTTGAAGGGACAGGAAGAACCAAATCAATCTGGAAGAATGAAGTTGAAGGACTCAACTCTAATAGATATAAAGACATTTTACCGACAGGCTCCGTGAAACAGTGTGTGACCGGCATAAGGACAAACAGGTAGATCCGTGAAACAAAATAGCTAAACAGACTGACTCATGTATGGGCAGTTGACTTACTGCAAAGGTGGCGTTGATACACAGTGAAGGGAAGATGGTCTTTCAGCCAGAGGTGTTGGTGAGAGGGGCTGTAGATAAATGTCGTAAAAAAGAATCTTGGTCTCTTCACTATCAAACCCAAAACAATGGATTCTAGATGAACTGTGCTGTCTTCTGTAGTAGCCACTGGCAACAAATGCCGATTTCAATTCATATGTAATTAAAACTAAGTAATGAAACTAAGTGAATGGAAATAAGCTTTAAAAATTAAAATTAAAATTAATAAAAATAAGACTAAATTAAATGCCCACTTTTCTCAGTCTCACTGGTCACATTTTAATTGCTCAGCAGCCACCTGTTCTATCATTGCGGAAAGTTTGCATTGAATAGCACTGTCAGGAAGTCACAGTTTTCTGGAGCAAAACAAACAGAAAAAGGAAATACTAAATTGAAGTAGCAGGTGTTTCAGAGGGGGTTCACTACTTAAGATCAGGCAGTGAGTATCTGGGGAAAGAACATTCCAGGCAAAGGAAATAGCAAGTGCTAAGTGCTGAGAGCAGTGATCTTACCAGGTGCATTCAGAAAATAGCAACAAATCTAGTGTGGTTGGAGTATGGCAAGTAATCGGGGAGTAGTGGGAGAACAAAAGACAGTCAAGTAAGGCAGGGCCAGGAGGGGAAGTCTCATTACTCTGAATGAGACGAAAAGACACCAGGGAGTTTTAAGCAATGATGGATGCCATCTGACTGCCTTTGGTGGGATCATGATGTCGGAAAGTGCCCATTTAGGAGCAGAGGTACACACACACACACACACACACACACACCCATAATCATGGATATATATAAGGTATAGATCTATATGTATGTGTATATAATTTATGTCCATCTGTATGTCTGTAACAGGAATAGAGACCTGCTTGGAGACCAGTTCAAGTAGTGTAAGGATCCATGCGAGGTGATGGTGGTGGCTTGCACTGGATAATAGCAGTGTGGATGGGGGAGGGAGGTTCGACTTCCTCATTGAATACATGTAAGGTGTGAGAAAACAGAAGGAAACAAAAATAACACCACATTTTTAGTTGGGCAACTGGAGTAGTTGAGTTGCCATTATTTGAGATGTGGTCAGAGGTTTGAACGGGGGGCGCCTGGGTGGTTCAGTCGGTTAGGCATCCGACTCTTGATTTCAGCTCAGGTCATGATCTCATGGTTGTGAGATTAAGCTCTGCATTGGGCTCCGTGCTGGCTCAGCACTGGGCGTGAAGCCTGCTTAAGATTCTCTCTCTCCCTCTACCCCTACCTAAAAAAAAAAAAAGAAAAGAAAGAAGAAAAGAGAGAGAGAGGTTTGAGGGGAAAGACAGCAGCTCAGTTTTACAGTTTGAGTTTGACATGTCTGTGACACATTCAGAAGCAGTTGAGCATGTTGAGAGCAACTGAGAAGGCATTTGAACATGGGACCAAAAGTTCCTTTGTATTAATATGTAATTCTAAAAACTGGAGGATGGTGGTAAAACCATGGCAACAGATATTTAGGGAAATTAGAAAATTAGAATGTATCTTCAGAGATTTTTCGTGTAACACAACCAGATGGCTTCCATTTGCTTTCACAACCATTGAGGACATTGCCCATCTTAGTCTTTTTGAGCTGCTGTAGCAAGATAACCACAGACTGGGTAGCTTACAAACAACAGAAATTTATTCCTTACAGTTTTAGAGGCTGGGGAGCCCAAGATCAGGGCACCAGCATAGTCCAGCGAGGGCCTCCTCTGGGCCACAGACTTCCTGTATCCTCACATGATGGAAATAGCTCTGTGGGGTCTCTTTTATAAGAGGACTAAGCCCATTCATGAGGCCTCCACCCTCATGACCTGATCACCTCCACAAAGCACCCCCTATTAATACCATTAATACCATTCATTATCTTTGGAGGTTAGGTGATTCAGCATATGAATGAGGGGGCACAAACATTCAGAGCATAGCACTGCCCCAAAAATGAAAGCAACCTCGGACAGCTGATGATACCCACGTTTGTCCCCTCCGCTAAGTTCCCCCTTCCACACGATACAGATTTCCAGGCAGCACCTTGAGTCAAGAGGTTAGGACAGAATGGTTGGGGTGAGACAATAGGATCAATATTTTACAAATCTTCCCAATTGATTCTTAAGTGTACCCAGCTCGGAGATTTGCTGTTTTGGGCCTGTGGTTCTCAAGCTTTACAAAACAGAGAATGGGAGAATTAAACATAATAAGTTTGAAAATACCTCACAGAGAGGAAAGGAAAACTTTGCAAATGAAACACAGAACTTTAGGTGTCAACTAACTTTTTGATGTTTCCTGTTTGTCCAGCTTGGGTTGTGAATGAGCTTGAAGAATCTATCAGTGCAACCCTGTGAGTCCTGTCTTCCCACAAATGCGTCCTGTAGTAGTCACATGGACGTGCTTTAAAAAGGTTGGATTTTATAAATCAGATACCTCTAAGTTGATAAATATCTCGAATCTTTAAAACTTTAAGAAACATAGTAGACACACACGCGCACACACACACGGTTCTCATTACCCATGATAGTTACTTTCTGCAAAGCAGCCATAGACACTGAATTAGCCAAAATTGGACCATTCGCTCCTAGAGGAAATGCAGTAAGATTAGGTTCCTGTGAGCCTCTGGTCACAGCATTCGCATCAGCTGATCAATACATAACCTCATTTGACTTGTGTTTCGGGTTGAAGACACCTTATTTAATGCACACGGTTAATTCATCAACATTGAACTCACAGCCACCAGCACGATAACTCCCACCTCGGTGAAGCTTATTCTAGCACGTGCATTTCCTTGTGAGGCATATCACAGCCTCCTTGTGCTTGGGATACTAGACAGCTCTTCAGCACCACCCTTGGAGGCCATTTTAAGCAGTGAAATCATAAGAACAAGCACAGAAATGGAAAAAACATGGCACTGAATAGACCACAAATGAGATACGTGTCACAGTATGAGAGCTGAAACAAGGAGACAGAGTGTGGCCTGGTTCAGCTTCAGCTGGATGCGTGTCTACTGGGCAACTCAAGCTTTCTGCTGCTTTGTGCGTGTCTGCAGATGTCCAAGAGCACATTGATTTGGGGGGTACAAATAAATTGTAGTGAGTAGGTGATTCACAAATAATGAGGACCTGCAAATAATGAGTATTGAGTCTATACACATACAAACACCCATGTGCATGATATCTTTCTATGGAATAATTCCAAAATTTATAGGCCATGTGAACTTACATTATCTAAATGATAAGGCAATTATCAATTTCATTTAATTGAATGAATTATTCCATTTCTATTAAATCAGCATTTACCTTGTCATATTACTTTATGAGGTATGTGCCTTAGTCAATGAAGTCTCATGCTAACTCTGTAACAACTCTAAGAGACATGAAGGAAATATGTATATACACACAGAGAGAGATGAAAGGTGCTTCAGCAAAATTATCAGAAAGTATTGATGCAGAAGAGGACATTCACAACATTTAAAGCCATTTGAAAAGCAAGCCATTGAGGGCAGAGACACAGATAATCCAGGAGGAGACAGCTAAGTGGCTGTCTTAGCTGTCAGAGGCCCCGGAATATTGAAATACATTCACACTAAAGTGACAATC